TGTAATTTCAAGTTTTCGCATCATCAATTTATAATCACAGATGAACATTTACATGACATGACTGTAATATTCATCCTTCATTAGTTCTCTATTTGTCTAGTATTAGTATTATTAGTCGTTGAGTACAATTTACATGTTTTACGCTACGTTTTAGACGGAGATCTCGACCATAAGCCGTAAAGTGCGCTATAAAGATCATGAGTATATCATTTTACATTAGTAAATTAATTTCAAGGCCTTCAGGGTGGTAAAATGACATATGAGATATACATTATTATAACCGTTAAAGTTAAAGCCGCTTAAGGCCAGAAGACAATAATTTCGTAAAGTACGTGTTCTTCGTGCCACAAGTAGATGATATATTTATATGTATATGCATATACGCGTATACGTGTTGTACGCACAAGCTTGCGTATGTACACAACGAAAGAACAATTCAAAGGTTGTCATGCGGAAGTCTATCCAGGGGGAATGCCAAAATATAAAACGCATTACCACTGCGACCGGACTGTCTCTGAGGAACCGGCAACATTATACGATCCATTAAAATTATACGCCAGCCATGTTCGACAGAGCCGCGTAGGGCTGCGCCCTCGTTCCGCCGTATCGCCCTTCTCATTGCCTCACCTTCTCGTTCACCTCATTCACACCGTGACAAACTTTTGAAAGGGCAGGTGAAACTGGAAGTTTCAATTAGTCGGAAATTTTGTTAACCAGTTGTTTGCCGGAAAGTTGCAAACTAACACATTAACTCGCTATTAACCGGCAAGAAAATGAAAAACGAAATCTAAAAATTAGTTCTCGACATTGTGCGATCAGAGTGAACGTAAATATTACGATATCGCAAATTTAAATTTAAAGATTTTTCGCAAATTTAATTTTACAACAGCTTGTAACCGATAAACGAAAGTAATATAATAAATTTTATGATGATTGTTAGTTAATAATAAGTCGAGTGAAAAATGTTATTTCGTATAAAAAAAAAAATATATATATATATATGTGTGTGTAATTCCTATTCTTCCTCTCAAATTGAGAACTTTGTGTACTATCCGGCACGCAGCGAGCAGCGGAGCAGCAGCGAAAAAGCCGATACGAAAAACAAACTGTAAATACACTGAAAATAAATTATCGAACACCCAAAGTGTCTTCGAGACGAACGAATAATGATTAAACTTCTGACTTTCATTTTCAGACGTTTTCAAAGGTACGATAATAAACGTATAACAAGACATTGCAACTATTGACTGTGGTAATTTCTCGATATTATCTTTATCATCCACTGTAATTATTCTCTCTCTCTCTCTCTCTCTCTCTCTCTCTCTCTCTCTCTCTCTCTCTCTCTCTCTGCCTCTCTCTCTCTCTCTGCCTCTCTCTCTCTCTCTCTCTCTCTCTCTCTCTCTCTCTCTCTACATTACCACTTTCGGATAATTTAATAACGCTGTTACTTGGCACGCAAGCTCACTATGCGAAAAAATATCTGTCTCGCGCACCCACCAGAAAGATGGATATCACTATCAAAAAACTATCGTTAAAAGGTAGAGGGAGAAAGAGAGGGAGGAAGAGTGGAAAGAGAACGCGGCGGAGCGCACTCGTCACGTCACGCGCTCGAACGTGTCCGCAATAATCCACATTCGCGGATAATGGCACAAACACGCGCAAGTTTTCCTGTCCCTCAGCGATCGAGTTTGTCGGGAAACTCGTTCGAGAATATTTGCACAGGAAATTTCGCCCGTTCTCTTATCCGTCCGCCTAAATCACGATTCCGAATACACAGCGCACGCAACAAGCAGACGGGTGTACTCACGCATATAGATATGCACGCACGATAGATCGAATCTTCCGCGGAGAAGACATATGGATCCGCGGAGAGTCGTCTCGAAGCGAGGGAATTCAATATCTATCATCGCGCTCCGCGATGGGAATAAAGAACTCTTGAGGAATTTTTACCGACGGATCGTCATCAACGGTATCCCCGTTTGAAAGTGTATCCGCGCATTTCCGCGGCAAACTCCGCGTTCGAAGCGGGCTAAGCGTGCAATTTGTTAGATTCCGATGGAAGAACAGCAATGCGACGAAAATACTTTTCCCGAATGCTCTCAGCGATTGTTTGTGTACTGTGTCAGAGATGGTATTTTTCATAATTGTTCCTCGAGAATTTTTCATTTGTTCTTATCAGAAAGATTGCACACCTATTTATTTTTTGTTTTTTTCTTCTTCTGCTTCCTTTCCTTTTTCTTCTTCTTCTTTCCTTTTTTCTTTCTTTTTTTTTTCTTACAGATATACTTCATATACCTATGTACTTTATATACCGGAGAGACTTTTGCGGTACGCCCCTTACTTTCGCGGTGTGCCCCGATGCATCTTTGTGATAAATCAATCTGAAAGTTATCAGAATTTTGTCACGCGTACCTTCGAAACTTGCTCAGTTCCGTTTCGATGCTACGTTCGATTAAGATTGAAGTGTAATTCGAATAGAAAAATTTCTATTGGCAGTTTAAATGGTAGTTTAAAAACAGTGGAAAAATGATTAAATTGTGAATAATATATTTAGTTTCACGTCGGTCAAAGTCTCACACAGGTAAATTCCGTCCTTCATTGCAATTCTTCAATATGCTAAGCTAGTTTTTCTTCAGCTCGAAATAATATAGTTTTCTTATGCATTTCATCTGCAGGGACGGCACTGTGTGTCATATACGTATCTTTTTTATGTCAACTGTAAATATTTTAGTCGCAAGCCAAAAATGTCGTTGCTGCTTCTTACATAATTCGCATTTTCACGAAATTTTTATCTCTGGATTTCTACTTCCAAGACTCATCACATTTTATTCGTATTAAATGTATTCTAATTCTAATTACGCGTTGCTACATCTTCCTTCTTTTTAAGAACGCGCTTGTATATATTTATAATCACCTTGCTTTACATATTTGTACGTCCACGTACGAATTCTGTTCTACAAATTACAACAGAGAATTCGTATTTGTGCGGGTAAATTAATTTAGCGGAAAATTCGGTAAATACATTCACGGCGCGCGCGTAGCATCAGCTGAATGCAAATATTTACCGCGAGACTTTCGGATCATTGATGCGAAGTTGTCGGATCTATTATTCACGAGCGCTTTCACCAAAAATTGATACGCGCATTATTAAAGCGTTATTTTGCGAGAAATGTGCTTGCTCAAGTTATTAGCAACGAATAAACGTTGCCCAGTAAATAAATTCGATTTGCCGATTATAGTTATTTTGTCATTCAATCAATTTTAATGTTCTGCATTTTCCCTATTAATTGCTTAAACTGAAACACGATGACGGAACACTTTCGGCTAATTAGAGGTTCACAACGTTTGAAGTTTTGCAGTAGATCTTTGGAATTTATTGAAAATTTTCTTCATATATCACATGTGTATACATTCTTTCTCCAATTCATATTCTCTTTAACCAAGAATATTTTTCTCACCAAGCCATCAATCCTCTTAACCAGTCAGCGATGTTATTTTTCGTTTCAAAACTGCCGAACGGGATGTTGCCGATCCTGAATTTTCGGTATTTCGGTGATTCAAAAACAAGGATTTACGGCGATGGGTCTATTGATAGTTAGTTTTCACAATAAACTGTGATACGAGAGGTTACCGCGCGAGAAGAGTGACAATGTGAGATTATTTGAAAAGAGTTTAGACGCGACAGAGCGCGCTTTTCTAATGACTAGTAGCATCAAAAGTAAAAAAAGAAAAATAAAAATGCGATGAGCCGTATCACGAAGCATACGAAAGATCTGCGCGCGCGCGCGCGCGTGATTGCGTTGTTTGAAATAAATTTCAATGACGCATTTTTCAACACCGCCGTATAATCTAATGAAGTACGTGTATTTCGGTGATAACGTTATTTATCCAATTAGTACTGCGTCAATATTATCCGCCGATTTCATTAACAGGATCAATGCAGTCAGCAGCCGTTATCAAAACTATGCTTAAACCGCCGTAAATCACGTCGGATGAAATAAAATGTCCATCTATAAACAGCAGCGCTTTCACATGCCAATATTACTTTTACTTACTTTTTTTGCGCGCCATTTTATCGGAAAGCATAACGTTGTTCTTCGAGATAAAAGTTCGAAAAAGTAAAAAAAAAATGAAACACACAAGTATACTTCAATCCCGCTATGTCACATTTCGCTGTCCAAAATACTGAATATCCTACTTTAATTATCAGAGAAGAAAAATATATATAAAATTTACGTTTCTCAATACTTTCAGTACAACAGAGACTTCGGCTTATTCAAATAATGATGCTTGAGCCAAGGTAATATCATAACTTTTTCAGTTTCATGTTTGTACAAATTTGTATTGTCCGCTTATACGCGCATCTTGTGAGACAAAATCTCTCGGAAACTTTCTGCAACCCGTTCCCGGAGGCAGTTGGTTCGGATTTAGGTTATGACGGTATGGAGTGCGGGTAAAGTGGAGAATACGGATTATATATTCGATCGCGCATTGTGTGTATGTGTGTTTGTTGTGTGTGTGTGTGTGGGCGTGTGTGCGTGCGTGTGTGTGTGTGTGTGTGTGTGTATGTGCGTGTGCGTACGTGTGCGCGCGCGCAGCACCGGAACACACTCAGAGTGCGTCGAATTATCAATACGAGATTAAAAGAAAACAATTTACCTTGGTAGTGAAAGCCGGTGAAAGCCGCTGCAAGCGAGTCGATATCCCAGCAGCGTCGGCACGAACACATATAGTTGCAAATTAATGAGCGTGTGACGCGCGTACGCGAATTTCGAGTCGCGATCACGACGATAAAACATTGGCGAACGTATCAATATGAGCAGTAATCCGATAAGCTTTCCACTCATTTCCCCGATTCGACGAAATCACCAACAGCTCGTTCAAACGATACCAACCGAAACTAACGCACAAAATGGCGCCATTTGTACACTGTGTGCAGTGTGCACTGTGCACTCGGCGCGTTCTACCGTTGATACACAGTGGCGACATCTCACGTCAACCACGCGTGGAACCACGCGAAACGAAGGGAGACTCATGGCGACTCGCACAGCATCGCAGAAACGTCAAAATAAGAACACGATGTACCGATGCATCGGTGCTTACTGTCATACGCGAATCGCGCGATTCTTTCCGTTATAACTGCGCTTGGAGAAGAACGGAAGGATGTTTATAGTGACGAAGGAAATCGATAGCGAGAACATCAGCAAACTGTGTCGCACGTGTTTGAGAGAAGACGGCGACAAGATGGTATGTTTGTTCATGGGCCCAGCCGGTTCGTCTCTCGCTGCCAAGTTACGATCCCTCTCGTGCTTAGAGGTAAACGACACATCTTTTAATTAGATTAAATTTAAACCTTCGAAATACGGGATTTAGATATTTCGAATATTCGCAGGTTTGGCAAGGAGATGGCTTGCCTGAAAAAATGTGTGATCGCTGTGTTACCAGAGCAGAGTCAGCTCTCTTGTACAGAGAACAGTGCCGTGCGGCAGACAGGGCTCTGAGACAAGCAGCATTGAAGGTACCAATGTAAACTTATTGTCACACACACACACACACATAATAACACACAGATGGAATCATGTAAATCTTACTGTATGAACAAATATATTGTACAAACAGGTATCCGGACTTACGTCATACACTACTGTCTCTGGTTGTAAGCTCTATCAGAATCAGCAGAATCAAGGATTTGTTCCGGTACAGAATTCTCACAAGACACTCAAGTGCATAGAATGCGGCGCTGTGTTCATGAATTATCAAGAACTCTGTGCTCATAGCAGACTACACCTGTCCTTTATTCAGGATAACAACATACCTGTGCAACACATGCACATAGTAGAATCTCAAAATCCCTATCTCAACTTTGGTCATGTTAGTTCGAATTTTGCCAACGATAATATACCAAACACGCAATTATCTCCATTGTCGAATAGTGTAGTGAGGTCAAATGTGATGCATACTATGCCGTTGAACGAAGAGAGCTCCAGTCGAGCCGCCTGTGCCTTACACTGTTCCTTGTGCAATCACACCTTCACCAATAGAAGACAATTAATAAGTCACAATATAACGCACGGTACGGATAATGTAGATATGTCGTGTGACAACGAGAACATTGAGATCTGCGAAAATTCTAATCATATCCCGCAAAATCTCAGTTACGAGAGGTCCATTCATTCCGTCGACAATCCTATTCAGAATTTGTCGTATCAAAGATCCACCGTAGATGACAACGACGAAATGCAAAACTTAAATTTCCCCGAGAATATCGATCTGGACGGTGACCAGCAGGAGAACAGCTCGGAACGTTTGCAAAATGTAACGATGCATTCCGAGAATAACGTATCGATCGCGGAAAATTTGAGATTTATGAAGGCGCCCGGGAAGGATCAGCAGCACGTAATCGGATATCACGGGTGCTCGACTGACGGTAATTATAAGCAGTCCCTTGATGCAAAACTTGATGCGGAAGATATTCACGCGAAGAAGCATCGGTGTGAAGTATGCTCGAAACAGTTCTCGCAAAAATCTAAATTATTCGCTCATCAGTTGTCTCACTCTGGTCAGCAGCCGTTCAAGTGCCTCAGCTGCGGCAAGGCATACGCGTCGAAAAGCAAGCTTAACGCGCACATGAGATTGCACACCAAGACCAATGTACATCAGTGCAAGGTGTGCAATAAGATATTTTCGTATCCGTCGTACTTGGAGGAACATATAAAGGTTCACAACAAAACTGACAATATCCTGCAGAGTAAGGACTTTGAATGTAGCACCTGCAACAAACGTTTCCGTCTCTTGAAAAATTTGAAGGCACACGAGAGGCTTCATACGGGGAAAGGCTTGGTGCGATGCGAGATTTGTGATAAACAGTTTAGCCATAATTACAATCTGAAAATGCACTTACGAACACACAAGACGTCGAAGGTGCACAAGTGCGAGTATTGTGACAAGCGTTTCGTGCAAAAGGGCAATCTAGTCGAACACTTGCGAATTCACACCAAAGTGAAGCCTTTCGCGTGTAAATTATGCGGCAAGAGATTCGCGCAATCGGGTCACTTGAAAAGCCACGAAGCTTCGCACGGTACTTTGAGGCAACATCAGTGTCGGTTATGCGGGAAGAGGTTCAAGCTAGCCAATCATTTGAAACGGCATTTGAATTTGCACACCGGTACGAAAACGTACAAATGTAATCAGTGTAACCAAATGTTCTCGCAGTCCTTCAGTCTGACGAGGCACTTGAAGAAGCACAACGAGTCGCATGTGTAAATTTATTCGACAAACTGTAACACATACACATACGTGCAAACGTTTTTATTTTTATTTTATTTTATTTTATTTCATTTTATTTTATTTCTTTTCTAGAGAATCTTTTACATATCCTCCTAGAGAATTCCTTTCTAGGAGTTTCCCTTAAGGGCGCCTTTTCACCTAAGGGTAAGTCGCAATAAAATAACATCGGGACAAAATCGACGCTTCCGTTCGATTCTGTAGAGATCTACGTCGTGTGGAATATATCGCGGAATGTAGCTTCATTTGTAGCTTTTCAGGACTGTAGTGAGAATGTTTATACCTTCTCGCAGTTGCTCCTCCGTGATCGTTAACGGGGGCGATATTCTAATGATTTGGCCGTGCGCAGGTCTTGTCAGCAAACCAGCATCTCTCAACCTCAGACAGATATCCCAGCCGTCGGCAAACTCTGCAATTAAATTGTTGTATCACTATTGAGCGTGTCTCGCGCGGCTATGCAATAAAATCCAATTTCTCGTTACGTAACGTGAAGAAATATCGCTCGACGTGCGACGGTTTATTCTCATCATCTCGTCACACTTATTTGCACAATTATCGGGCGCAAATATGCGAGACGAAATTGCCAGACGAATTGCAAGATTCGGACTGTAAACGAGCATTGCGCGCGAGGAATGTTTTAGCTGAATTCAAAATATTTCCTCTTCATTTTGATTTTAACCCCTCCTTAACGCGATCTTTCTCCGTTGTTTTCGTCGATCTATTCACAATAATCCCCCAGCACCTTTATTAATTACCTTTATTAATTACGAGACCAGCCAAGAGACCGCGTCCTCGAAATTCCGTCGCAATATCCCCCGGCACTTTGCTCAGTTCCTCCTTCAAAATCTTCCCGAGTTTCTTCGCATTTTCCGCCAGATTTTCTTCTTCCAAAATTTTCACTGCCTCCAGAGCGACCCGATTTCCGAGCGGGCTTCCGCCGAAAGTGCTCCCGTGCGAGCCCGTTTGCAGACAGAACATTATCTGAAAGGATAATCAGCATTGATTATAAGGATCTTTGTCGCAATATGTTTCGATAATATTTCTGGAGTTTCTGACCGGTAACAGCGCTCTTCCTCGTAAAGAAACGTTTTTCGTCATCATCAATGATTCGATTTTTCCAAATGTTTTCGCCAACGATCCCGATTGTTGAGACAATATTCGAAATAATATTCAATAATTCACCTCGAGTGATTTTGTAAAATTGCACGCACGTATTCGGTAGTAGGCACATTTCGAATAGCTCTAGATGGCCACGACGAGATGGAAAGCGTTCGAGTACCTGATCATCCGCTAGGACACCGGAAACCGGATACATCCCACCGGAGAGCGCTTTCCCCAAAATCAGTATATCCGGTCTGCAACCTTCGTGATCGATTGCCAGACGCGTGCCGGTTCTACAAAGACCGGTTTGCACTTCGTCGGCGATCCATAGAACGTTGTACTTTGTGCACAGTTCCCTTACGCGTTTTAGATAACCGTCCTGAAGAGATCAGAGATAAGAGATCAGAGAGAAAACGTATCGTCGAGCGTATCAACAATCGACGTTCGTGACGAACTCGGACTTACAGTAGGCACGATGACTCCAGCTTCTCCCTGGATGGGTTCGACCATGAACGCGCAGATATTCGGATTCTCTCGGAACTTTTGCTCCAGTGCGGCCGGATCGTTGTACGGCACTTTTTCAAAGAGCGGCACGTAAGGGCCGAAGTCTGTGTAGCAATTCGGATCTGTCGAGGCTGACAAGGCCGCCAATGAACGACCCCAAAAGTTTCCTCTCGCGAATACCACAGTCGCTTTGTCACTCGGCATTTTCTTCACTCTGTATCCCCAGCGTCTGGCCAATTTGACAGCCGTATCGCCGCCTTCGACACCTTCGAAACCAAGAGAAAGTAACTGCTCCGAGCTCTAGTTTGCCAAGTAATTTGATCGATGTATTTATTTATTTTACGAATTCGTGTGCCGATTAATAAAATTTCAATTTAATTTTTAGTAATTAATAATAATAATAATAATAATAATAATATTTCAAGTATGCAGATATGCATATATTGGTAACATACCCGTATTCATAGGTAAAAATCGGTCCCATTTTAGCAGTTTCGTCAGGTATCCTCCCAATTCGCCGTGAGGTTCCGAGTAAAAAGCTCGCGACGTGTGCGTCAACTTCCCAGCTTGATCTCTCATGACCTTTACTAGACGAGGATGACAGTGACCCTGATTGACGGTCGAGAATCCTGCCAGGAAATCAAGGTAGCGCTTTCCGTCAATGTCCCACAGGTAGACACCTTCCCCTCGGGTCAGAACAACCGGTAGCGGTTTAAAGTGGATGCCACCGTACTTGTCATCGCGGTCGATCACTTGCTGGGAGCTTAAGGATCTCCCCTTGCCCTTGCCCGATTTCTTTACGACACCGAGGAATCTCTGTCTCATTGATTGCATGGCCATATTTCTCCCCTCTCGCTCTATATATACACAACAGACGTAAATGGTGAATATACTAAATATGAAAAATAAAAGGGAAAAGTATCGTCGATCAGAATAATCGCCATACAGGTCGCGATTATTCCGATTGACTCTGCGCTTCTACATGTAATTTTACCAGCAGCTGAACCAACAGATGAACGAGGATCTGACAAACAACCGCAAAAGACAACAAAATCTGCCACTTGTTACTTTACAGGCGCGAGATTATAAGGTGTCGGAAAATAGACGTCTTCTGATGGCAATTTCGCTTATCTCGCCTTTATATCAAAGCGACAAAAGATACGGACAAATTACAAATTGCTTATTTATCGGCGTAATGCTTGTGTACGCAAGAGCGTCGCGACAGAAAGATTTATAATAAATACCAGTACATACGAAAACATCTGATAATAAGTAACGTACAGTAAAGAGCAGAGGCGCCAGCGTGTCCGAGCGTGTAAGCGCGCGAGCAGTGATAAGCAATATATATAATCTGTGCTGTTGTGCATCGACTACATATCGATGAAACAACATTGTCTTATCATACAACTGAATGTTCCATGAAAGTATCTCGCTGATACGGCCGGCTGATTAAAAATTACGACACTTTTCCTCGATAAAACAATAACAACAGTATTGGCTCCTTTAATCTGCACAGTACACCGAGTACCAAGTACAGTAAAGTAAAGAGACATGATAATTGGGTGAGACATAAAACGAATCGCGTTCGAAGTACGCGGCATAATCGCGTTTGAATCGTCACTTTACGCGCGCGACAAGCCGCAATTTCGCGCACGTGTATGCATTTCTTTCGATACGCTTTATCTCATGCTGATTACCCGTGTCATCATGCTCTCGCTAAAAACGTGCCGTCGTCGTTATTTGCGTGGAAAATGAGGGGTAAAATGTTATCGTACGAAGCTATTAATAGCCGAGATGCAAGTGCAATAATTCGTGTTGGCTGTGTTGATATCTTTATTGACATCGTTATTGAGATAACAATACGCGCTGGACCGCGCGCTCGAAGATGGTTTATTCATCGCTCGCCGCATATAATGAAGAATAATTATCGAACGATATGATAACCGAACGAACGCATCTCGTAACTCTCTGTAACTCGTCTATATTCTCAATCGTCTTATAAGTAAACGACATGCATTAACAATTGTTAACGATTATACGTGTCAGCTCGTAATTTAGTTAGTTTTCTTTAAGTTTTCTTTCGCGGCAAACGCATGATAATTACCATCTGTCGAAAGTGAAGTCCGTCGGCAAGAAAGCACATTTCGATGTAACGCGTAACGTTGTCGAAACGACGATCATGCCGGACACATTGTATTTTGTCCAAATGAAATTATGTTCGACGCAGGTGTGTGGTCGATATTTACATATTACATATAGGATGAGATTGAGATTTTTATTGAAAAAATACATATAATAATATAAATACATATAACCACGTATAAATAAACAGTCGATGTCACTACGATCGAATATGATTGTGCCGTATAATGTGCGTTTCTCTTCCTTATATATGCGTGCACGTCTTTCCTCGCGGTCTAATATCTCAGAGACGGTCTGTTCAACTTCTCATTTAGCCAATTTAGCGCATACGGCCGCCGAATGTAACTCGAGCACAGTCTTAGAAATTATGTCTGCGCATTCGCGTATCTGTCCCTCCGTGATGACCAACGGCGGTGCGAAACGGATGATGTGGTCGTGCGTCGGTTTCGCCAGGAGGCCGTTTTCCTTCAGTCTCAGGCAAATGTCCATGGCATCGATCTTGTCATTAATCACAACCGCGTTCAAGAGGCCCTTCCCTCTCACCAAGGTGACCACTTCCCTCGGCAGCTTGTTGAGCTCGCTTCTGAACGCATGACCGAGCCGCTCCGCGTTCTCGGCGAGTCGTTCCTCCTCCAGAACGCGGAGTGCCTCGAGTGCAATTCTGCAGCCGAGAGGATTGCCGCCGTAAGTCGAGCCGTGCTCGCCGGGCTTGATAGTGAGCATAATGGGATCGTTGGCCAACACTCCGGAAACCGGATAGAATCCTCCGGACAAGGCCTTGCCGAGGATCAGGATGTCCGGCCTCACGGCCTCGTAATCGACCGCGAGTCGCTTTCCAGTCCTCGCCAGGCCAGTCTGCACCTCGTCCGCGATCCACAGGACGTTGTACTTGGAGCAAAGCTCTCGGATTCCCCTCAAATATCCGTCCTGTTTGAAACGTAACGACAGATTGCTAGAGATAAATATGAATTTCCAAGTATTGTTTTCTCACATTCTCGCAAACGTTTAAATATATCCTCTGAATTTCTTCAAGCGAAATTCCACTCGTTTTGAGTGAAATATCGTTTTAAGACATCTAGAGAGAGAGAGAGAGAGAGAGAGAGAGAGACAGAGAGAGAGAGAGAGAGAGAGAGAGAGGGGGAGAGAGAGCGAGAGAGAGAGAGAGAGAGAGAGAGAGAGAGAGAAAGAGAGAGAGAGAGAGAGAGAGAGAGAGAGAGAGCACGAGTCGACGACGATTGATGTTACCTTCGGTACCACGACACCGGCTTCACCCTGGATAGGCTCTACCATGAAAGCGCAGACGTTTGGCTCAGTGAGAACTTTCTCAAGTGCCACGAGGTCATCGTAGGGGATAATTCCAAAACCTGGCATATAAGGCCCGAAGCCGTTGTAGCAAGTTGGATCGGTGCTGGCAGAAATTGCGCTCATGGTTCGTCCCCAAAAGTTACCCTCCGCGAACACAATCTTGGCTTTGTTTTCTGGTATACGTTTGACGTTGTATCCCCATCTGCGCGCCAGCTTGCACGCCGTCTCACCACCTTCCACGCCCGTATTCATCGGCAACCATTTGTCGTATCTAAGAGAGAAATACATTTAATAGTTATAAAAAAATATCCTGTTTAAAATTTTACAGGGCTTCGATTGTATTCGTGCACTCCTCCGTGTTCCGCCTCTTGTTGTCACGTATATACAAAATGTTGCATCAAAGCACAGCACATTACGACAGATTACCAACTATCAGATGTGTGCATCCGGGCAATTCGAGGCTTTCCGATATAGTCATATATATGTTGCATACCTTTTCGAATAAATTTTGCAAATGACATATTTTCTTGTTTCATAAGTCTTTACTTTTCTTTCTGACGTTAAAAACTCCGATATATATATATATATATATATATATATATATGTATATATATATATATATTGTTTTGTTTACTTACTCAGTTAATTTGAATTATTTCCGCTTACAAATACATAATATTTTTCTTTTTCATTTTTGTATTTTCAAATATTTTATAAATATGTATTGCTCGGCTATTATGATAATCGAACATGTTGCAAACCCGCATTGCAATCGTGATAATTAGAAACACTTTAAACTTCATCGGAAAAGCTATATAAACAGTCAGCAATATCAAGTAACTATATCAACGATCGCCAAGCAAACCGCCGCCGATGTCGATGCAATCTGCACTTTGTACAATTTCACTCCTGACAGAGAGAGAGAGAGAGAGAGAGAGAGAGAGAGAGAGAGAGAGAGAGAAATCGTAATAATTATATCGTTAAACGTTCATCTAAAAGAAGATTATCAGTCTTTTTAATGACCGGACCGAATGAACCCAATACGAGAGATATTGGTGATGAAAAAGGATTCTTACGTCCTCCGAGAAGCGTGCGGCTGTATCAAAGTATCAAGTATTATCACTTCTCGTTACTATCTTTATCATACTTGAGGCTATATAATCACTTTAACCGATAGATATATATCCGATAGATAGATAGATATATCTTCCGATATTATCAGCTTTAAGATTGAATTTCGTTGGGAACAATATTGTCCGATAATTGAATCTATCAGCCGTACTTTTCCGTGGTATTATTATTATTATTATCGAATGCATTATATACGCGCGTTTACACTTATTTGTGATAAATAACTATAAATATCTATATATAAATACCTATAAATATCTATATATAAATACCTTTGTCACAAAAAATGTGGTACTTGAAAATTTTGTTATATTGCCGACTCATCTTACACCTCTCTCTCTCTCTCTCTCTCTCTCTCTCTCTCTCTCTCTCTCTCTCTCTCTCTCTCTCTCTCTGTCTCTTTTCTCTTTCTCTCACTCTCTGTCTCTCTAGTCTTGTTGATGTTTATGATCAACGTTGCCTTACCCGAAAAGTTTTGTGATGTATTCCTCAAATTCGCCCAATACGTCGGAATAGAATGCCCGGGACGTCAGAGTCAAATTCTTCGCTTGATCGATCATCGCTTTGTAGATCCTCGGATGGCAGTGACCTTGATTCACTGCTGAATAAGCGCTGAGGAAATCGAAATAACGCTTACCTTCGACGTCCCACATAAAAACACCCTCGGCTTTACACACAGCCACCGGAAGTGGATGATAATTATGTGCGCCATAATTGGATTCACGGTCAAACACTTGTTGAGATGTGAGTGTTCTACCGCATCGAATATGCTGGAAAGAACGAGGAGACGTTCGATTTGTGGAGATGTTTCTGTTTTCGAAATATCTGCGAGGAATCGCGTAAATAAATATATCTCTATGTTTTGATATTTTAACGTATTTTAGAGAACGCATAAACCAGTGTCCAAGGACAGAGTGATAAGTTTATTATTAGATATATTATTTTATTCAATATCTCATTTTGAAAAAATCAACCAAATCTAGAGAAATTATGTAGTTTTTGTACATTTATTTAATTGTATAATCACGTATCATAATTGTGCATATAAGAAATAGTTTTACAATAAGAAAAATTGAAGAATGCTGATAAAGTTAATGCCGATAATATTACCTGAAATTGGGATTGCAGTAGCCTCGCTTGTCCTTTGATATTTAGCAGCGCTGCTCTAACCAACGGCTCCATTGAAGAAATTGATTTACTTTGATGTTAATTGAGATGTGCCTGGAAAAGAACCCGACCAAGCGATATGATATTAGAATTGTCTGACCATGAACCGATTCACCGTGGTTCGTCGATTAAATTGAAGTGCAGTTGTGGCGACAGCTACTTACTAGTGCTCAGCCACGTGACGATTACATAAAGAAAAGTGAAAGTTTCTCGGGTAATTTACAGGATTTCTTCAAGCAAAGTAGTAACTGTTGCAATCTGCCGCTTTTGAGAGATATAGATACACAAATGCCGAATACATTTGTCCGAAATTGCAAATTATATACAATGTAATAAAATTGTGAGCAATGATTATACATATATTATACAAGTTGCATCGTGATTGTATCTACACAATCAGTTCTTTTTTTTTCTTTTAATTATACGTTTAAAGTGAATTTGCAACAGCAAGGCATCCCATGAATAACTGAATCACACTCCCTGCGGCCTATTATAATTGAATAATATACACGATTATAATATAAAGAATTTTTCTTGTGCGCGCACGTGTGATTAAAGATTTAACATTTAATCTCGACACCAAAATATGCTCCGAGATGGATCATTTCTCAAGCAAAATCGTCGCTTATGTCGCATTGAAAAACTTTTATCCCGAACATTTCGTTGACAAGAGTCAACGTGTATGAAAGTATGTGCAAATTCTTATTACACTTTTAAAGAACCAATTGAGTACATTCTCAGCGATTAGTTGTTACACTCATCAATTTTGATCATATTTCCACTCAACTCGTTAACTCACTCTGATTACTGTATGACGTCAACTCGTCACAATCGATGAACTTGCGGTAGTGTCTCCAGTCGTACTGACGGAGACGGGGACGGAGCGTGTTCTGCGTGTGTGTACACTACTCAAGTTATATCTCAAGCACAGAACACAGAATCGTAAAATATTATAACATATCCCTCATCTATCGTCAGACACACGAATCTTGTTACTTTCCCGCTGATGTGTGCATTCTTCACAAGCGCGTTATCATTGCTGATAACGGTACGAAGCATACTCAGCGTGAGAAGAGATGCATTCTACGTAGGAAATAATCTTCCTCAGTCATGACCGAGTTTTTGTAAATTTAAATAAACAAAATAAATGAATGTCGAGGTATGAGAAAGAGCTACGATACTCGTGAAACGACTTGAACATATAATTAAAAGATTGAAAAAGTTTTTCTCGAAGATGTTAAACATAAATTTCAGTATATCGTGCTTTTGTGATCATGTAACTATTGCTGTACAATAATTGTGACAATTTTGTTGATAAATTTCCGAAAACGATTACACCAGATCCAAAAACCAGATTACCACAAATTTTGACTAAAATATTTCAAATAATGTTAAATAAATATCCGCAAGTAGATTTTCTCATTATTAAAAATTAAAATTATTTAATACTGAACATGTTTAAATAAAATTATATATCGCTGTTCGTATATCACTTTCTCAGATGAGTATGTACGTTAAATCTTTGCCTTATTAAGTAGATGAATCTACAATATACTAAAAATAATGAATCCGGTAATACAACCGGTAATACAACCGGTAAATTTGGTGAGAAATGAAATCGCGTCTGATTCGCGCATGATTCGCGTCACGCTCCAGAGAGAAGAAGGAGAGGAATCATGGGCCGCTTTTAGCCGAGCCACCGACGAGATACTATATAAAGACTGTTGGCCTTACGGGATTTAGCATACCAGAGAAATTTCGCTGTGCACTAGCGCCCTCTTAAGAATATCGTGGCCAAAATATGAAACAGTGCTCGAAATAAGCATGGATGGTAACAGATATGGAATAATGGAAAAAAGGATCGAAAGATATTAAAGACTATTAATACAGAAAACAAGCCGAATGTATGTATGTGTGCATGTCTCTTAGGATTGCAAGACGTGAGAAAATTTAGAGTAATTTTTATTTCAAATATATACACACGTTGGCATTCCTTAAATGTAACAATTCGAAATTGAAATAATATTAAAATTGCAATCCGAAACACATATACAGAGTGTTTCACAAATCCCTCGCTCCGAGGAATCCATGAAGACATAGAACGGATTAAGATAAATATAAAATTTCCATACCATTTTGCGATGTTCGCGACAACCGAACTATTAATTACAGAAATGTAACGAATGAGCATGCGCCGAGATGGTATCGAAAAAACAACAAAGCAGCTCGAGCTAAGCGCGGCCCACATGATCTAACGACAATCGTCAGTGCAAGAAGAAGAAGAAGAAGAAGAAGAAGAAGGACAAGCCGCCGATATTCGTGTTTTACCTCGTCGCTCTTGCGTTAACATACTGATCATGAACGAAGCTACTTTTTTTCTACAGCTGGACGACGACGACGGCAACGACAAGCAGCCGGTTCATAGCCGACCGGTGACGACGCGGCCCCGCCGCGGTTGCTGCGGCCCCGGGCCCCGGGGCGAGACGGGGCTAGGCGACAGAACGACGGCCACGAATGATTAGCAGCCATTCGCTACCAATCGACTAGTCAGATTCAGCAATTGCTGGTGACATACGTCGAGAGACGTGGGTGCCGCGAGAGAACATGAATAGCGGCGTGTTGTCTTTCCCCTCACCTCGCAAGCGGCATTAGTTGCTACCCAGGTAGCAGACTGACGTCAAATGACGTACTAATGACGTCTTAATGACGTCATTAGCAGGGTAGCTGTATTATCATGAGCGTAGCTAAAGCAATCGGTATTATAATTGCTCTTCAATTACCTCCGGGCCCCTTTAGTTGATACGAAAATTTATCCAGGGCTGTCAGTTTTTATATTACCTCGTCGGTGGCCGCGCTTAGAGACCCTAGAATACAGAGTCTGGACAACCCACAGACATCTTTTCATTGGTTCATGTTCTCAGGCCCCTCACAATGGCGGTGCGAATCACATTGCAGCGGGAACACACATATATTCAAAGTGTGATAAAAGTAAAATATCGATTTAAAAGCACACATATATTTTTATTGAAAATAGAATTAAACTTACATTCGAAGAAATCAAATTGTTGGCTGTGTTGTTAGAAGCTGTAATATTTTGAATGTTTTTATTGTTAAATATTGTAGGGATTGCTGTATTTTTCAATTTCTTCTTTCCGTCAATCCGTGGTTTCTCCCACATTTCAGTCGCAAAATGTGCCTGTGGTATATTAATATTATTAAATAAAATTTAATAAATATTTATACAAATAACCCTGCAAACATAAAATAATAGTTACATAACTGTCAGTTGTAATTTCCCATTCAACAATGTAACTGTTACATAACATGTGTTTTATACATAACAGGGTGTCTCAGAACTTTGGGACACGGGCTCCGTAGGGACATAGAGCTAAGTGAGAAGAACAGAAAAGTCCTCTACCATAATGTGAAAATCGTAATAATTTTTTAGTAATAACCGCGTAAAGTTTGGCGTTTTCCACGCCCATCGCGGCCTATGGACGCTCCGCGGCAAGCTGTGTGCGTAGGAGCTGAGCAATAAAGCCCTAAACACAATGCGAGGCAACAGGCAATAAGAATAAAAATAGACCAATCACAATCGACTATTACAAGAATAATCTATTGTGATTGGTCTATTTTTATTCTTACTGCCTGTTGCCTGACATTGTGTTTAGGGCTTAACGCATCTCGTGCTGACTGTCGCGATGGCATCTTGGCGTTTTGACGGAGAAGTTAAGCCAGCGGCACACGGTGCTTGTTTTCGTGCTGGATTGCTTGCTGGATGAAAATACTGCGTTCTGATTGGTGTATTTCCATTCATCTTCGGAAATGTACCAATCAGAACGCAGTATTTTCATCCAGGAAGCAATCCAGCACGAAAACAAGCACCGGGTGCCGTTGGCTTTAGTCCTTTCATTTCCCTCCTCAGGATAGAAATGAAGAACTCTGATTGGTTGATTCTCTTGTGCGTTGTGTATTATGCGTTATGCAGAAGTCTGTGCTCTGGTCCATACGCTTACAACCTTAAGCCAGCGGCACACGGTGCTTGTTTTCGTGCTGGATTGCTTGTTGGATGAAAATACTGCATTCTGATTGGTACATTTCTGAAGATGAATGGAAATGCACTAATCAGAACGCAGTATTTTCATCAATAAAGCCGCTGGCTTTATTCTTGCAGCCATTGTAGATGGGCCTTAAAGGATGAATAAAGTTGGCATTAGTGTTGACCTATCGATATTAATGCTTGCGATTCTCGAAGTTACATGGATTCTTGAATGTTTTCGTGGCGGACACGAAGTTGACACATGTGTACAATGTGCGTAGTTTACGTTTAATAATGCATACATTTTTATAAGACAATCAGTTAAAAGGTACAAAGATGCTGTGACCAATTTGACATTAATAACTAAATGTACATATGTGTCTGAATAAAGATAACAAATATAAGAGTGATATGCGAAAGACTACACAATAGGTATATCTATGTTTACTAATCACAAAAAACAATTCAGCAGTGTGATTTAATACCTTTAGTATATTTAGCATACTTTAACTTCGTAGTAAGTTGTATCCAGCTTACAGATATCTACGATAGATATCGTGTAATTTTTCTCTTTGCTGAATATCATGTACAGTCATACCATATTATTAAGAATCTAATTGTATATTTTTATTAGGTTTTATAATTCATCTGTACTTATGTGGTGCTTTTATACAAGTCATGTGAGTGATTTCAATCTGACAAGGTAGAATATTTTGTGCCATATCACAAAACATATCACAAATAGCAAAGACTACTACCAGTGAAATATACGAATAATTTCATTGTCGATATTGTAAAACATTGTCATACAAATTATTATCTTCGATATATAGAGAGTATTCTACAATCCTAAAATGCGTAATCATAAAGCAACACAGAGGATAAAAAAACAAGCACCTAAACAGAAAACAGAAAAATTAAGAGAACTTTATGTCACATTATATGACCTTACTTTATATCCAGAGTTAGTCCCATTGCGATATAAGTTGTCATTCAGGCAGCAACTGAAACAAATAACAAAGTTATCGTATATAAATACATCCAAAAATCATTCTAATAATGTACAATTATCAAGACAAAATGTGCAAAATGCCAATGTACAAAGTAGCAAATCCATAGAGAACAGTTCTTCGAGAAATATATCTGAAAGGAAAAGCATAAAGAAACATGAAACAACTAAATCTAAATTAAATAATAAATATATAAAATCAATTAAGAAAGTACTAAACAATCAGTATGATAAGATACTTCAATCAAGATCCAGAAAACATAAACAACAATCAATAATTGATGATGAGTCTTCCAGTGTAACAAGCGACCAAACTTTTGATGAGACAAGGTGAGTAATATATAATCCCCATAAATTCTGTAGAATAAGGAAATAACTTATGTGATATTATAGGAGTTCTTTAAATTTACTTGTATTAAACATGTATATTGTAGCCAAACATCAAACGAAGTGGCATCAACAAATACTAAAGTTCTTCAATATGCTAGGAAATTAACTATAAGCAGAGAAAATAGAGTAGATATCAGTGAATTGGATTTGACAGATGGTAATATTGTATATGTATATTACATATAACACATAAGAATAGCAAGAGAACAAATATGCAAATCAATATGCATGTGATGGAACAAAGTATAGAAGTGTTTCTTCAGTGCTTCTTCAACTTCATTAATTGGGCATAATTTTCAGTACAGATCTATTTTTGCTACATTCCATGCTTTAACTTTGCAATCTAACAAGTTATATTCTTGCATGTATCTTGATTTACATGTAAATGTTGTGTCTGTGCTAAGACTACAACCTATACGTATCAATATATCATATCTATGGGTTGGATTGAACATCTGACAGCATAACAGATTTTACTGTTGCATCATGAGAAACAATCATTATAATATTGATTCTTGTATTATAATGAAATGTCCTTGTGACAAAATCATCCGACTCATAAGACCAAGATCAACACTTCCTTCTTCTGTTATTCACTTGCATGTCGTTTTTTTTTTTTTTTTGTTACCCTTAACATACTCAGTAAAATGCTTCATATCAAATCCAATTTAAAACAACAATTAATATGGATGCAACATGAATAACATATATAAATTTTGTTTTCATTTGCTGGTGTATGTATAAACAGATACAAGCATGGAATCAGCTAAGGTGGGTTCTGATGATACAAATTATTTGGATAAGAAAAATTTAATTTTTATTGATTCTAATAGCAAGAACCAAAAGGTATCCAACAAAGAGATATCTATTGCAAGTACAAAACACAACTATAATTTAAGTCCAGTTAATTTTAGGGAAGAGGCAAATCACAAAGTAAAACAAAAATATAGTCTAAACAAGGAAAGTACGTATGTACTATTGTTATAAGAAAGACAAGTAAAAATTAGATGACAAAATTTTAAGAGAATATTTAAATCTTTTAATTTAATATTTAGGTCTAACCATCGCAGATGGAGGAAAGAAATTTTCTACAAACAGACTGTTTGAGAATGTTAAGACAAATGAAGAAGTTCTGCATACTTCTAAAATTCCTCTAAGCTCATCTAATAATAAAATGATTGAGGAAAAACAAGACCAGCATAATGCAAGAACAAAATCAAATACTGATAGTACGTTAGCAGTAAAATTAAAATCTACCGCCATCATAAGACCAAAGAAAGTGCCTACTGATTGCGTTACCAAAAACAGTTCACCAGAAATATCTAAAGAAAATAAGTCGTTGAAGCAGCAGCATACTATACCAAAGATAACTCAAGATGCTTTCTTACCGAGAGGAACAGTAAAACTTGTAAGACTAAACGGGGCACACATTAGCGCATGGAAGAATACTCTCAATAATGATAATTCGAAACAAAATGGGTGTAATAATAGAGATAAAAATGTAAAACAAACCCTTGATATCGATGATACGCTTGAGCACACAAATACTCTCAAAGAAAAGGGAGATCATGTATCTTCTACAATAATTAAATCCATCAACGCTTCACAAATATCAGGATACATATCAACACAGAAAAGTAATACACAAGAAGATAACAATGTGCTGACTGATGATGGACTTTATAATAAAGTTCTCAGTCGTAGAAGACAAAGTTTCTCAATAACGACACAAGAAGATACTTACGAGAATATAAACATCAATAACATTAATACTGAAGCAGCAATTAACACAAAACACAATGTACAGGATAAAATACAATGTCGAAAGCGTACTGCAGAGAAAAATAGCGAAGATGTCAATACGTGTGTTAAAAGATTTAAACTAAAAAGAAATTTTCAGCAAAGCAATGTGAAACCATACATTGAACAATCGAATCAACAACAACTTAATGATTCTTCAAGTACCGACGCTTCAATGTCCAAAGAAGCAGAATGTTATATAACCGATTTGCGTAAAATCCTAAATCGGAAAAGGAATGAAAAGACTTGGAAATTGAAAGCCGCAATTGATGATAAAACTATAGATAATACGGCGTCTATAGAAATAAGTAATGAAGATGATACAATTGCTGTAGCAAACGTAGTAACAGCAAGGAACGAGAAAACTTGTGAGAAACTCTCTTCGAAGGATAAATTAACCTTTAGTAAAGATATATGTGAAAAGCAAAATAATTCGCAAGTAAGTTCAATTAAGAACAGTGCCTCGAATTTATCTAATAACTTGTATAATGTACCAGACGAAGCATGTCACAGTCAAGTAGATATAAATATTTATGAAGATATCAATATGCGAAAGGAGTGTACAAACGATTTGAACAATAACGACGATTGCAATAATGAAGAAGACTATGATTGCATTTCTCTTTATGCAGAAACGTTCGATGTAAGCCAGTAAGTGTGATCTAGAACGAACTGTTTTGAAATTTAATGTTATATGTTTCATAAATCATTCTTAGAAAATCGTGCCTAATTCTGAACCTATCGTGTCCGATTAATGTTTTATTAAAAAGTTATAAAGATTTAAAGATTCTTCAAAATTATTCTTGTGACTTGTATTGGATGAAATAGCTTATTATTCAAACACTTGACTTTTGTTTATACACGGGGTTTGACCTATGACCTGATTTTATCAGTTGTTACAGTAATTACAACAAATGTTTGAAAGTTTTTCTTTTTGCAAGAACGTCAAACGCAGATTATTATTTGTCGAATTAATGAATGCCTAACTTCCGATACTCCTGCCCATAAATTATGATAAATATATCTTAAATACGTTCCCAGAGCTGATCGTCGTGTGTTTCTGAATAAGAAATTCCTTCTGGCATGTTATAAAAAACAATCATGTCGTAATGAATTTTTGAATGTTATTTAATTTGAATGTTAACTATAATTTTTTAATAAAGCATTTACCAACACGTAGGTTCATACAAATCCTTTTCCATCTATTAAAGGATACAATCCATTAATAATTTGTGTAAATTTGATATCGATCTCTTTTTGGATATCTTATAAAATATAAATTATTTTACAAAACAAAATTTTATTATTCTTGTAGATTTGAAGATACATTTCCGGATGAACGAGAGAAATTACCTAAACCTCTATATTCTGATACACCATACACAATGAGTACTAGTAGTTTTGATAAATATTTCAAACAGAATAAAAGCGAATTTAATCAAGAGTATGAAAGATGTAGAGTAAATAATACAGAAAACTCACAGGTTGTACAAAATACAGATAATACAGGAAAGGCATTGGGAAAAATGGAAGTATTAAAAGACAATTTACTAGAAACGCATAATAAAAATCAATTATTGACAATAAAACAAACTCTGCCAAAAATAGCTTCAAACATTCCTTTGTGGAGAAGAACAGTACACATCGATGAAGTAATGAGGCAAACTTCACAGAGACATTGTCCTGTAAATTCAACAAATTTAACATCTGCAGCCGAAAATACGCAAATTTTTAAATCTCGCGATATGAATCAGCATTTTTATGGCTTTTGTTTTAATATGTTGATATACTCCACGTGTAAACAGAAAACATGTAATTTCAAACACAATGTAGGTATATATATATATACATATGTGTGTGTGTGTGTGTGCGTGCGTGCGTGCGTGCGTGCGTGCGTGCGTGCGTGCGTGCGTGCGTGCGTGCGCGCGTGTGTGCGTGCGTGTGCGTGTGTGTGTAATATATACACATATATATATTTTTTTTTTCTTATTATTAGTTGCTCTATGCGATATATTCAATATAATTTTATTTCTAGTTTCAGGATTTCCTTCACAAGTTTAATACTCAAAATAACAATAAAATAATGGATATGATAGAATTTGCTAGATTTAAGAAATTTTTCTTTTTCTGCCAAGAATTATATAGAATATCATTAAAGAAATTAAGTACCGATCAGATTTTAAAGATACATCAAATGTTTTATGACGCCTATAAGTTAACAAAGGATATTACTTGCGACGTTCTCGATGAATTATTAAAGAGAAATATGCCATTAAGTGCTATTGTGGAAAGCATCGTAGCGTCCATCTATTCGTCCGTTAGAACCATTATAGTGAACCAAGTGTACCTAATATACCAGTGTATAGAAAAATATATAGAATCTGGTAAATACTGGTACATTGCAAGGAGCATGTTACCGATACTGATGCCAGATAAGCGTATTATTGAAAACATATTATACGATTGCATATGCAATGAACAGTTATTTAATGTTCGAGATATTGATGATATATTAATAAGTAAACTCCGTCCTGATATGATATCACAATTAGATAAACATTTAATGGTACGTTTCAAAAGTCTGTTGGCTAAGAAAACTGCAGAGGATATTCGCACTATGAAACCAGTTCAGGAATTTGGGGAAAATTTTATGGCGATGGATACGATTGCTTCCCCCGATTCGAAACAACACTTAGACGAAGTGGAATCACCAAGAGGATCTATCAATATTGCAAACATGAGTCGGACAAATGAAATTGAGAAGCATGGTCATGAAATGAATGCAACAAGTAGTAAATGTTACATATTGCATCCTATCGGTAATTATTATACTTTAATTGTTAGCGTACTGTAAGAATTATTATACCTTTATCCACGTCACAATGTCCTTGATATTAGATGTATAACAGGTTGTATATTATACACACACACACACACACACACATCTCCTTTGTTGTAGACGACTTGCCGGAACCACGATCTATCTACCGAGATCATGAACATCTGTGGAAATTCTATGTAGATTTAGATAGAGTTAAACAGGGACTTAAACATCAAGATTACGATTATGTTATTGATATCTTAGAAGAGTACACAGAGAAACAGGATGCAAACTTGTTTGTTCGTTCATGTTGTAATATGCTCCGAACAGAGATAAAACGTTCAGATCACCACTTAATAAACATAATACAACGAACAGGTAAACAAATTTAATATTTAGCTCAACATTTAGTTTATTTTGTTGTTAATATCTCTAATCTCATATCACATTTGTGACAATCAAGAAGCCGTGACAGAAACAGTCTATTTTTATGTCAACTAATTTAGCTGCTTTTACTGCCGTATATGTGAGAGTAATCAGTGACATGTTAAAGCAATTAAAAGATATCGTTCTCTGTAAATTCTAGATATCAATATTTACGTAAGTTTAAGTTCAACTTAAGTTGAACTTCGTGCAATTGACACTTTATATCTCTTTATTTTTTATCTGACAAAACTCCGCAGTTGTACCGCGTGTTTATTCTTTATTTAATACATAAAAAAATATATATATATATAAAATATAAATTTTTTTTTTCAGTATCTTATTAGCACAAACATTGAGTATATTTTATGTTATATTACGTTGTATAAAGTATCAATTTGATAAATAAACTATTAACAAACTTTCTACAGACTGAGTATCTGATTTATTTTATTTTTTCAAATTTCACCGAATGCACGTTTTGGGCCAAAATTTCAGTCCAAACCGGTACTTTTGCCATCCTGCGTAAAATCCTATTTGAGATAGGATTAGACATATTGATCGCTTTAATGGACGAAGAGGCTTGGAGGCTTGCGTTTTACTTTGTCAAATCACTTAAAATTTGTGATTTACCATCTAGCGCGGAATTTACTATGTTATTGGCTGAGATTTATCTAGCTAACAAAAGAGCTCTAGATGCACTCGATTTATTCACAAGTGAGTTCCCTTTGCAAATTTTAATAACACGGGAAAAGTAGTACCCCGACTGTAAATATGAAAATATTCATTAGATATAAATTTAATTGATATGTAGAAATGTCCTTCTATAGATTAAATAGTTCTCACTGAATTTTGATTTAATTTAATTATCGTCAAAATAGTGTCAATCATAAAAAAAGAAAATGTATACGCGGCAAAGGAATATTGCTCTCAAAGGAATATCACTTTAAGTTTGCCGATATTTCTACTCTACTTCGTTGATGTCATATTTATGTTCCTGTGTTGTTGTTAATTTTTTCAGACAAAAAAATTATATGCACCAGTCGTGATAGGTGGCGTGTTGTAAGCACTATTCGCGACGAACGCGTAAGAAACAAACTAATGTATATCCTATTGGATTCACTTTGTAACGGTCTAACGGAACACGCTTTCTTTCTCTTTACATTTTTGCTCAAAGATCAATCCAGCCAGTTTTATCCGATAGGTAAAGTGGCAGATATGTTTAACGTATTTAGCATATTCTCATCATTTATTATCGTTGCACACGTCATATATATTGCCGTATTATTATGCTATATTATTTGGGCATATAATGCATAAAGATTGTTTTATCGTTTTTAGATTTGTCTCGTTACGTAAACAAGTTAATAACGCTACTTTTATCAGGAAACGAGACAGCTTTAATCATGGAAATGGGGAATTTGATACTTAAATATAATTTTCCATTGAATACAACGACGTGTCGTGCATTAATTACAACGTTGATTCACGTAGACGAAAAATTAGCCATACAGCTATACTGTTATGCGGAAGCCATAGGTCTCTACTCGGTGATAAAGGTAAAGATATTTGACTCTTTATGTATGTAAGATAAATTCACGCAACAGAAATATAATTTTGTGTGTGCAAATTTTTTGTTTCTTTCAACTAATTTATACAAATACTTCTATATTTTTCTTTGATATCTATCATATTTATTACTCTGTAAATCCTTTTTCTGTGTCTTCCTTAATTCAAAAATTATTAAGTAATGTCGCATGAAATTGAGATATTTATTACATATGTCCGTGTATATAGCTGTGGCCAATATGTATCATTATGAATAACGACTTAACGGAAGAAGAAATATATCTTAGAATTCTACGCTTACTAGAGAAGCTTAAAATAAATTTTGGACATGCGATCGAAACCGTTAAACCGAGATCGCAACAGATTGCAGTATTTCTCATCCTTGAGGTAAGCATTTAATAAAGCAAATAGCTACATTCAGAGTAAAACCAGACGCTTAGTAAGAGATTAGTGATTACCGGATTTGATTGGCGCGTATCTTTGGATATGTGTTAGACCTGAAAGTTACATGTCACGGGTATTCTCTAACAGCTAAACGTTTCGTTTTGCCGAATGCAAGTAATTATATTTTTGTAAAACAAAATTTCTGCCTGACATTAGCAAAGTATACATTAACCCTTTTTGTTACCCCCTTTTTTATATAATTTCTCCCGTATTAATTTCCAGGTGAAATCAACGGAACAGCCTTGTTGCTCTAAACAGATCTGTGATAATAGTCGAGCGATTGCAAATATCAAGGCACTAATAAGAAATGTCTTGAGAAAACGATTTGATCCACCTATATCATTAATATCACATGTTAAAGAAAAAATATGTAGGCTACAAACCAAAAGTCTTATAAATTATCTTAAGTCGGAACATTGCAATTGATAAAAAATATTGGTCACACTTGACCGAGAACATGGGATGCAAAATCTAGATGGATTAAAAAGAAAGGCATCAATAGTCACGCATTTCAAACACCATAGGATATTGTTTCAGTGCTATCATAACATTGAGAATATTACTTTGTTTTACATTGAATATGCAGTACATACTACATATAATGTTATTCTTTATACAAATATCACAATTAAATATATAGTGATCACGATTGAAAGTTTTCAATCGTACAATTTGACATATGGGCAGAATATGATTTTTATATATTATATTTTTCTTGAAGTTTATGTCACATTTTTCTATTTTATCTTCTGACATAATTTTTATAAGATCTTTTTTCTTTATTTTACATGTTTACATACCGCATTATTGAATTACAATATTATAAATCACGATTGATTTATATAATTATGGCGAGATACGCGTTTCTGTTAATTTTTATTTCTCTTTTTTTTTTATATACATACACACACTCGTACATTTCTGCGATCTTATCAGCTATTTTATTGTACAGGGACAAAAGTATATCATGACATCATATGTTGAATAATTTTACGTATAAATTTTGTGACTATTACGTAAAAAAAAAAAAAAAAAAAAAAAAAAAGGGAAAATAATTATAAAATGTAACCAATAGATGTGCACTGAGTATTTCATTGATATAAATTGAAGTTTTACACACATATAATTTGTTCTCATAGTACACAATGCATACAATAATAAACATAATACAACAGTAAAATAGTAAACATTATATAAATTAAAGATTAAACTATAAATAGAAATATACACTTTTTATAATGAATACATATTTCAACATTGTGAATATACAATCACAGCCGCTTGTAAGTACACGCAATTTTATTTTGAAAATAATTTCGTCATATTTCTGGCAATCACCAAATAATCAACATAAACTTTTAATATACATATTTTAATATGAGAAATATCGGAGGAAAAAGTATCATGTAAGAAAACAAGATAATGATAGATCGAGTCGCATCGTTTATACATTTCACTATTTCAATAATAAAAAAGATACCGTATATAAATTTTTATATATCGTCAAACTATAAGAAGAGAGATTTTTACGAAATGCTCATAACATTACATTCTGCGCATAGGATTTCTTGGAAAAAAAAAAGAAAGAAAACTAAAGATACAAATAAATCAATATAAAAAAAAAACAATTCTTCTCACACTCTTGTAATTTTGTGCTGCATATGAACAAAGAATATTTTATATTTAATTTCATTCTTAATACAACACAACGTAAATTAATAAATAAGTATTATGCGTATATATACATTCAATCAAATTCAGGTATGTCGTCAAAAGAATAACCAGGTACTTTCTGGTACGCTAAAATAGCTACCCTCATATGATAAGCCCCTGGTATAAACATCAAGGCCCCTAAAATGATCATCGGCCACATTCGATCCGAATACTGCAATATAAACAGGATATTCTTATATAAATTTGGTGAGTAGTATGTGATAATTTTACTTATCATATATCGATACATTTCCATGATTTTCCATTTATTAGCATAATGTAATAATTATTACATATTTATTTAAAGTTACATGCTGGGAGTCATCACAGTGCAATTATAATATTATATTAATTGGTAAAACAGTAAAATCTTACTTTTGAATCAATGTGTCCGCTTACAATCAAGCTTCCCATAATGAGCATAATGGTTCCTCCAACAAACAGAAGAGCCGCTAATGTGATAGCCTTCCATGGGATCTTCACTGGTGGGCTTACAAACTGAAGAAAAGATATATTGTCCTTAATTCAACATACAAAACATCTATATCGAAACCTATGATGTACCTATGATGAAAAATAAATGTGTTTCTAGCTGAGTATAAATGTGAGAATGCATCGCTGCTCTTCACTCACCTGTGAATCAAAGAAACCATTATCGGTTTCTGTTAATTGTGTGTAATCCACGTTGTCGAATTGTCTGTCACTTCGAACTTTCTTCCTGCACATGCTCGCCTTATGAATATAGTCTGAAAGAAACGTAATATATTATCTTTTCATTCGCTGCATGTAATATCACAGCATGTTTTAACTGTTACATTTCGTGCCTGTATTTTATTTCGTTAAAAAAAAAAAAAAAAAAAAAAATATGCTTTACTCTTTGCAGTTTGTTCGTAATAATTTTATCGCTCGATCTCGATATATCGATTACTTGAAATGCGTGAAATTACCGTGGCATTTCTGGCAAAATCTCACATATCTCACATATCTCACAACAAAAGTTTCACATATCTGACTATATGCTTTGCGCGCAAACAGTTTGGCCTATTTACGGTGATCGGTACGTATGAATAGAACACGTCCTGCGCACTCGTCGAACGATGACAACTGTTATCTCTATCCATTCTGTTTCGTTCAATGAATCTAAACATGCGCTTTCGTATTTCAAGTGTAATTATGTTTCTCAAGCGCAATACAATACGCTCTGCCTGCCGCTAGACCAATTATATTGATATTACTCTAAGGACACTTTGTATCTCTCGTTCATTTCAACCAAAAAAAATTCAAGAACCGTCGCGAGCGCGTAAATATTAGGCTCGTAAATACTGGGAATGTGATTTTTGCGAATATGGAATCGGCTAATTTGAATCGAGTAAAGCGCAATCTCGATCTCGCGCAAATCTTGTTGCAAATTGACAATGGGCTCTCTGTAAAACCCTACAGGATAAATGCTCAAGTGATCAATCGCTTACGACGATCAAGCGTTTGTGTTATCGAGACCAAAGTGATGGCTTGTTATATCGTCTCTCTTCTTTCACACACACTCTTTCTCTCTCTCTCTCTCTCTCTTCCCCCCTCTCTCTCTCCCCCTCTCCCTCTCTCTCTCTCTTCCATCCTAACGCAATAATGTTTTATATCACAGTAACAAGAGTAACTCGAGATTTCCCTATTCATTTATCTAATCTCATCCATCCACTAGTAAACAATGAGCGTCATTACCATCGAATTATCTCACCATGGCCGCATTCGAGTTGCACAAAGATCATGCTCGTGACTCGTGTGTAAAAACCGCTATATAATAAGCTACGTCGTTCGGAATGTTTACGTCAAACCAATAGCACGTTTTAACGTTTTAACGGAAAGATCGATTTCTGCGGTCTAAATGCGACCGCATGCAAAGTGCATGGCAGCGATGGCATAAACGGATCGAATAGCTTGAAATATCACAGAGAACAATGTGAATCACAAGAGAATGTCGGAATCGGACACGTTTCAGTGCGCCACGAGCTAAACGAGCTTGACGCAGCGGCACTCGTCAGCCGGTCGAAAACTGCGATTATCGTCGTCGCTCTCGTCGCTGACGAGCTCGCATTATCGATCAGCAATAAATCGGTACTCCGTGAGTCGCTGTAAGATGGCGCCACAGTGTCCGATGATCGCCATTGCCATCTGTGGCATCGCAGCTGGGTCTACTTGGGCGGGAACGTAAAGCGAGTGTGGAAATTTTTTGTATTTTTCTTACGAAAAGGGGAACAAAATAAATCTTGGATGATACAAGTACTACGAGGAAAATTTACTTGTTTAATACACACATTTATCATTTGACTTTCTTCGAGTCGCGAATACCAAAATAATAAATTGTACCATTGCCGAGACCATGTAACATGTAACAATTATGTGTATGCGCGCTTGTGTGTGTGTGTGTGTGTGTGTGTGTGTGACAACACTAGCGTAAAAACACAAATGTACTCTTTGATAAACACATTCCGTTAATGTAACTGAATTTTCTATTGCCTGCAAACTAGAAAACTTGGTTGTAAGAACAGAAAGATTTCTATATTCAGCCAAATACTCTTTCAGTTATCTTAACCAATAGTTCCAATAGTTTTCTAGTCGTTATGAATTATATGTTACAGAGATGAATTCGTCTCCGGTCTTTCGGTTATATGAATTGAGATTTTTCTCTTCGTGTAGCGAAGAATCGGAATGGATGGTTAAATACTGCTCTTTAAACACGAAAGTTTCAAGATTTCTAGTAAAGCTCGCATCACGCGTATCGTTAGCTCTGCTAACTCACTGCAGATTCATGTCTCACATTCTCTGCTTTCACATCTTACTTGGAATAATCGTTCTCTCGTTGGTCGACGTTGCTCCGAGATTTCATGCAGAATCTTGATACGTGGCGGAATTTTGACGCATAATTTTAGCACACGACACGATTAAAGTTTTCCAACTTGACAGCCATGCTACGCGTCTTTCAATCTAGATCCTCATACACACAGATCGGCCCAAACACTCGTCGTCTCGTATCAGCATAACTACGAGCTTTCAGCCGTACGTATATTTCCAGATCCAAATGCAAACGCAATGCAGACGATAGAAAGTCGCGAACACTAAATGTCCAGACGCACATCGACGTAACACTCGGCAATATCAATCAATCGCTAATACGTCCGTACAATATATATAATAACTGCTTTTGCGGGAAGGCCTGGCAACGTGATTCGAGCTATCGGTTCGGGCACATCGGACGAAAATCCAAACAGGCAGCACGAACATAAAAATCCAGGAAACGCCGAACCGCGCGGGGCGGTGTGAGTGCGCGAGTAGGAGCTCGCGCGATCCCGTTTTCGCGGGCAGGAGGGAAGACTGCTGGTCGATCGTAAATATCGGCTGAATTACGTTCGCGATAGCGTTACGCAACTTTCTCTTTCTCGGTCACTCGAACGTCGCGTTAAGTGTCACATTGGATTCGGGTGGTGTCAGAGGGTCGGACGATTGCGAGGACGCGAGAGACGAGTGCTCGGTACACGGGGTGTATCACACACTCACTGACAGACAGATAATAGAGACAGACGAGTTTCGAGCTTTAGAGATACATAGATGGATAGATAGAGAGAGAGAGAGAGAGAGAGAGAGAGAGAGAGAGAGGAAAGGGGGGGTGGGGGAGACAGTCGTCAGAGTCGATCGGTCGAAAGATCGCTCCGGCTTTCGGCTTTCCTACCGAATACAGATCCTCGGTAGCCTGGCATAGAGATCGACGTTGCACGCGCCGCACTCGATGCTCGTTGACATAGCAAACTCTAGCCTTGAGACTTCTTCCTCTTGGCGATTCCGCTCGTCCGTCGGTCGTACGTTCGTAGATTCGTTCGTTCGTCGGATCGATCTGAGACAGTGTAGCCTCTCGCGGGAGGCTGTGCGAGGCGCTTTTCCCCGTGTTTCCCCCGAGCACGACGACGCTCACGACACGACACGGTGTACCGAGAGAGGGGACAGCGCGAACGCGAGGGTGGATCGCGCGCCCCGCGATGCGCAGTAAACGTCGGCCACGTATGTGCGAGGACGAGAAGCACCCGGGGAAAGTAAAGCACGGAGCGAAGGGTGACCTTAATTCAACCCTCTCCCCCCCCTCCCACCGTCTCCCGATCATGAACTGATTACGTTCGGTTATTTAAATTATCATTGAACCATCCGCGTCACACCGTACCGCTACTTATTGAATCAACTTCCACCCATGGAAATATGGATTGGACAAATAAGACGCCTTAGCAAGATCAAGATGCAACGAATCGCGCGAGTCAGCGGTAGCGTATGAGTGCAATTTGGATGTATAGACTTTTGTATTTCAAAGAGAACTCTTCGTGCGAATTACAAAGACTCGGCTCTACCTTCGTTTTGAATATCGATACGTATCTTTGATTAAAGAGCACGTGGACAAATACTCCGGTCGGAAAGAAAAGAGGGATAAAGAAAAGAGGGAGAAACGAGACACGCCGCGCGGTCGTCTCTTTCATCTCTTTCATCTCGTTCTCGTTGATAGAGCTACTGTATTCACGAAAGCACGAGAACGATGTTTTTCAAACGTCGTAAACTCCAACGTTTCGTGATTTGTCGCTGTAAGGCGAATTCCTCCCGGATCTCATATTTTATGTAATAACAGCGTTCACGTGCGTAACACAGCCTCACGTGTATAAAGCGCGTTGTCTTTTATACGCTTATTGTCTCGGATTGTAGTAAGTTACGATAGTGTGTCGGATGAGTTGAGAGGGTGAGATAGACGAGAGAGGCGGCAGTATTTGTGGGTGAAAAAAGTCTGTAGTGAAGAAGCAATGAGCGCAAATGATAGTAAGAAGAGATTGAATTGATGAACGTGATTACGTTTCAACATTATCTCGAAACCTCAAATCTTGATCAAATACGGACGCAAGATGATAAGAGATAGAGATAGAGAGAGAGAGAGAGAGAGAAAATGTCAATAAAGGATATTACACGCACGGCTCGTTATCTTTGTATTTATTTTACCAATCACGCTTTTTACGCTTAACAAGTTATCATCGTTTCTTATTAGCGTACGATTAAAATCATGACGGTCAAAATTTGCATGAAAGCACTCCGCATCAAATTGCGAAATGTCCAATGTGAAACGCTATATCATTCTGCAGGCTTTACGCCAAATGTTCTATCAGTCGTGAAATTTATGCGCGATATTTCCATCCTTGTGTGAATTTTCGCGTGCGATATTCTCTATTGGTAAAACCGCGTATCGTGTGCATTTCTTATTTTTCAAGCAGTTTTCGTTTTGCTTTTTATCAATTGCGATAAACAAATGTAGAACGAACGCGTGCACTTTTATTGCCTCCGATAATATACGCGACTCAATTTTGCGCGATTTTTTCTATTTGCCTCCCTCTCTCTCTCTCTCTCTCTCTCTCTCTCTCTCTCTCTCTCTCTCTCTCTCTCTCTACTTTTGCATTTTTGCTTTCCACGCAGTGTACAAGAGCGCATTAATAAACAAATATATTTTACTGCACGTAAAACAAAACATAAACTTGATTACTCGCACCTTTAAATCGACATTTAAATGAAAATGTTCAACACAAAAGTATTGAAATATTTTCCATGTCGTGCAAACGCAACTTGAAATACGATCATTATCGCGGCTTCGTTCGTCTAGAATTTTAATTCGCGCGTTAATCGGTCACACTTTAAGTTTATCGTCAGACAGATGTACGTATTTACGCGTACGTACAATAGATTCTTTTCCCGCTTGAAAAGCGGATATGGTGTCGATGTTCTCTGGAGTATCGATCCGTAGCTAGATATCAATCGCGACAATTTCTTCATAAACTTGTGACGCAGAGGTGACAGTGGTGGAATCTGCAATCTCTCTCTCTCTCTCTCTCTCTCTCTCTCTCTCTCTCTCTCTCTCCTTTCGCTGCAACTGCAGCACACGGACTTTTTCGGGTGTGGTAGAGGTAATGCAGAGAGCCTCTCCGCAGCTCTGCGCAACGAAAAACGCCGAGCGTGCTGCACCGCGAAGCTTGGAAATTGCACGTTTCGTCTAATCGTCGTGGTGATAGCAGCACGTGCGCGCGCGCGCCCGCGCATTATGATTTATTTTCTTAACCAATTTGACCATTGAGGCTATAGCAATATTTCAC